CCTTAGTTAAAATACGAGGGGAGCAAAAGTATAATTATGCCCCCTCAATAGAATCTGACAAATAAAAATAAAAATAAATCTGGAAATTAATATAACACTATCAAGCTTAATTATTTAGCTATTCGAATTTTAGGATTAAAAAGTGTTAATGAATTTACCAGTTAATGAGCTTCAATAAAACGGTAGCACAGTGGAGTAGGGATAAGTATAGATGATATTTGACAGTGATTAAAATAATTATCATAAGAAACGCTTCGATACAAATCTGTAGATAATTTAATTAAAAAATATATGGTGAATTATTAATTAAAAGCAAAACTAAGTCCTATTTTTTGTTCTACTTCGACTGCTATTGGAACATAGAAAATAATATTTTCGAATATATCACATATTATGTCGTCGATACAATTTTTTTTTTGAACTTCATTTTACATAAACTTTATTTTAATATATATTTAAAAGACGCAGATTTTCAAATGGTAAGTTAAAATGTTCTACTTTTTATATGTATGTTTCAAGTTTTGAACGGCCTTTGTATAAGGAGAACTTGCCGATTAAAAAAATATTTCGGATAAAAGGGGTATATATAATATATTTAGAAACAACAATTTGTGTCGAACTACATTTTCCAAAAAGTTATAGCAATTTAAAATTGAAAACTTATAATCAAAAATCGAAAATTTTAACACAAAAATAGCACTTTTTTAAACTACAGCAGCCGTTTGCACGTAGAAGAAAAGTCGTTGGGACAATTTTTTTAAATTTATAGTACGATTTATAAGTTTTAATTTGAAATTTGTTTAAAGGACGCAGTATTTTCAGAACATTTTCAAAAGTTAAGTTGAAAAAGTTGAATATTGTAAAAAAGTTGCTGTTTTGAATCCCCTTTTGTGGGCAGATAAAGGGTCAGAATTTTCAAAAATATTATATCAAATAAAAGAGAGTTACTTAGGGTTACAANTGGGCAGATAAAGGGTCAGAATTTTCAAAAATATTATATCAAATAAAAGGGAGTTACTTACGGTTACAATATAAAAAAAATTATTTTGATTTGTTCATTTTTGAATAAGTTATGACAATTTTTAGAAAAAAAAGTGAACAAAATTTACTGTTTCTAAAAATTGTCATTTTTTGAGTGATTTTTACTATTTACGAAGAACTAGGGAAAAATGTTTAATTTTTGAAGATAGTGTCTTCAACTAGATACGATTGATGATCTTTTGATGTATCGTTGAGAAGTGATCCAGTGAGAGCTGAATAAAAATTGTGACAGACACAAAAAAAATAAATAAATAAACATATTATGGTATAATACTTTGCATCGATGCTAATAATATGTATTATTGAGAGAAAAATTTATAAATTACCAGATTTTTTTATATGATCACTAAAATCCATTAAAAATAGTTTAACCCGCTTTTTAGTTTAGTAACAACCAAGGGAACTGAGTTTTAGTCATTAAATTTTTACTCCCCCCTCTCCATATAAAAAATAGTTCCGGGACCCTTAAGAAATTTGGTTTTAAAAATTGAATATATCTAGTTATCTGTTAGGCAGCAAACCTAGCTTAGTTGGGAACGCGTTTTCCCTCAATGAATAGGTATCGGGGTGCGATTCCGATGCGCTGGGCTATGTGGGTTTTTCCGTCCTGTATGGCACCAGAAATAGCTTTAAGAGGGAACGATAAATATGACTAATAATAATAAATTAAGAATAATAAAAATGATAAATAAAAATTATTTGAATTTAAATTTTCTAACTTGAATTAACGCATTAAAAATTCTATAATTTAATTTTAACCTAAGTAAACGTAACCCAGAAATCTAAATGTGAGAAGTAAAGTCTAAATCTTCGACTATTAATTTATCGATTATGTACTGAAAATAAAATAAAATATATATTTGTGGAATACAAGTAAGTATTTTTCTAAATTCATAAATTAATTTATTTTAGCAACACTGAGAGTATATTTTTGACATTCTTGGTTTTGTTCCAGTTTTTTTTTCACGTTATGATTTGGTTATTCTACTGGTTAAATTAATTATGTCTGAGTGTACCAACTAATTATTTGTCAAAGATTTGTAAGGATGATGTCTGTATTAATTCCGTTAATACACAATAATCGAACTATAACAAAATAAACATTTAACATTTTATTCGTTTTGTTAAAGGCCGATCACAATAAGTACAATTACAAAATATTTATAAACTGTGTACAATTGTACTAAACTTAACAAAATTTTTAATTAAGTGAAAAAAAATCGTATATACTATGTATTAAGGTATACATTAGATATTTATTCAAAAGAACGGATCAGTACTAAGCACTTGTGGTGTGACGGTAATTCGGTGAAATAAAAATGTGGCAGTCTAATGAAAAATAACATGCATTTGAGTTTTTATTAATATAAAATCTGCAATAACTGTTACTAACAGAACTCTAAAAACTATAGATTTTTATCTCTTTAAAATAGTTTATATTATAATGTTTTATTGTTTTTTAATAGGATCTGCAAATTATTTACTATGGCTTACAAAGTTTGGAAGCGCTGTATACTTATAGGGATTCTGCCTTGCGCACCATGTGTAAATCTGTTAGATATGAACGTCATGATGCCAATGACGTCCTATACTTGTAAGTATTTGACAAATTTACTATTTTTAAATTTTAAACTATTATAATAAAATCTTTTAAAGAATATAAGGTTTTTTTTACAAAAATATTATTGATATGCGAGTAGTATTTTTATCATTTAGAAATATGATTCTATGAGGTGGTGATGTGTCGCAGTGGTGTCGCCTTTGTGCATATAGGCGATTAACTCACTGTCATCAATGTAGTAGTAGTAGTAGTATTTGCGTTTTGGCATATTAAAGTTATTTCTTAGTAGATCGTATGAATGTTCCAGAAAACATTTGAAATAATCAGGTAAAAAGGCATTGAAGATTTTTAGTTTATGAAAATGTTGTTAAGACTTTTGACAAAATATTTTTAATTTATGAAAAATAATGGTGAATCATATTTTAAACAAAATATTTCGCTTTACGATGTTAAAGCTATAGGGTTCAAGAACCATGTTATATTTAGATATTTTATTCTTAGTTTATTTCACGTGTTATTTATGATTACGATCTTTATTTCTCAGTTAAATGTTACAAATATTAAGAGGGAGGAAGGCTGACTAAATACAAGATTACATTTAAAGNTTAAGAGGGAGGAAGGCTGACTAAATACAAGATTACATTTAAAGATGCGTTTTCTTTAACAAATAATACTGATATGATATTTTTTTGGATTGCCAATTTTTATTGTAGCAAAACTATAAAAAATACTTCCCCTATCTAATTAAATATATAATCGAACTACTCATCTGTGTATTACAGTTTTTTCGTTATTATCACTTAAAATGTTTTATTGCATTTTATACAATTATACATAATTTATCTATACATTTTTAGTTCTTAAAATAAAAATTAGCTCTGTAAAAACAATAAATCGTATTTGAAATATTTTGATTTTAAGAACTTAAGAAAGTAAAAAAAAAAAATAGTAAACAGAAAACTATTTGTGTTATAGTAATTAATATTATTGAATTAATTATCTTTTAAGCATAAAAACCTCTAATAATTTAAAATTAAAATATTTTAAGTTTTTTGTTGGTAAATAATTGTTAAACAATTAAAATTAGAAAAAAAATTTGATTTTCGTAAAAAACAATTACATCAAAAACCATCAACTATTAATTTATATAACTATATTTTTGTATATTTAAAATAATGTTAACATTTTTATAAGATCGGTAAAATACACGTGTAAATTTAAATCTATTCGGTTTTGCTTAGTGCTGCTATCTGTGTGAATTTATTCTTGATATATTATAGTTAACTATATTATCACAGATAGCGCTTCATCTACTAAATAATAGTTACTTGTTATAATCTTGATTTACTTTGTTCTCATCAAAAAATGTTATTTACTGATTTCTTTAAAAGAGTATCTATTTATATAATTTTAAGTATAATATATATTTCTTTTTAATTTACAAAGTGATATTTACATTTTTTTTTGTTTAAGAATAGAACTATTATTTTTAATGAATTTTGGTAGGAAAAATTTGAGAGTAATTCTAAATAACAACTTAAGTATATCTCTAATATAGGTATTACCATAAAGAAATATGCTTCTTAAACATTTATTTCTCTTTAAAATCTCTTAGATATACAGCAATACATTAAATTTAATCTGCTGTAGGGTGTAATTCAACATTTACAATACATTTATCTCAAAATAAAATACTACCTAGTGTATTATTAGGCATACAAATGACTTAAAAATATCTAGTTCTGTTTGGGTAGTATTAACTAAGGAACTTTTTACTTTTAAATATATTTATAAATCTTGAATTTGAATATGTTCAATTATTTGTATAATTGTGAAATGCTCGGATAAAATATCTATTAACACTTAAACCCCTAGAACACCCAATGGGTGCGCAATAAAAGTTCATTTTAATACATATTTAAACGATTAGTATTATCAAATTTTCATTATCTAATACATAAAAAAGTCATGTCTCAGGTTAAAGGATTACATAACATTCACAAATAAAATAAGAATATTTTATTGAAATTCTAATTTGTTTAAATTTATAACTTCTTTTTTTTATAATTTATTTTAACAATAAAAATTTTTTCCAAATTTATATAGTTTTCTTGTTAAAAACATTAATGGGTAGATAAAATTTTTAGGGCAAGTAATTATTAAGTAATAAACATTTTTATATGAATGTGTAGCTTAGATGGAGTATGTGTTATAAACATACACCAAATTGAACTGTATTCAGCAGAGCTACATATGCCCTCTTTGTAATAAAATGCATGACTAACTAATTAAATTAATTGTTTCAAAATTGATTTATACATTTTTCAGAAGAAAAGCCCCAAGTAATATTGAAATTAAAAAAAAATGATTTATTTATTTTTTTATTAAAAATGAATAGTAAAAAATAGGCTTCTTACGTAGTCTATAATACAATTAAAAGATTATATATATATAATTAATTTAAATTAATTAAATTAAATAATTATTGGATTAAAAGTTGATCTAGTTATTAACTAGATCTGTTCCACTTCGTAAATTAAAAAATTAGAGTTTTCGGTTATTAAATATAAATATATATATTTAATCATAGTTCATATAATTTATTTTTTTAAGTAGTCTTTTGTTAACCTCTTGTTAACTTGTTAACAAATAAAAAGCTACTTAAAAAATATTCAAGTAGTATATATTTCTATTTTGTTTTTAATCGTCTTTGTAATATCATCGAATAAATATTTTAAAAATTCTAACAATTATTATAAGTTTAGAAAAATAAAAAATATTAACTTTCCAACATTATACTAATAAAAAAAAAAAGATTATTTAAAAATTATTGTTACTATTTAAGTTTAATTACATGTTTGATAAATGTGAGTTATTAAACAAGTGTTTAATAAAAAATTATATATTTTTAGCACTGGAGAAGTGGTCATGTGTTGGTATATATTACTCTCTGGTTCAGTATTTATAGATGGGAAACTTTTCCTTCCAACATCTAGGTAAGTCAAAAAATTAGTATTATTTTTTAGTAATAACTTTTTAAATTTGGATAGATATAGACGTAGAATCTTGGATCTAAATTTTCCTTTTTATAAATACCTTAATTTTTCTATTTTGCAGAAGATAATTTTATTTATTGACTACGTTTAAAAAATCTTATAATGTAATATTTTTTTTTATATCAGCATAATAATTAATTGACATAAAATTTAATCTAACAAAAAAAGGAAATAGGAAATATATTTCCATCCTATTAAATTATTTGTACGAGGTAAATGTGTAATCATAACAAATAACTTTAAATTAATAAAGATTTTTGGTTTCTTTTCGAACTATTTATTAAACGTATTTAGTTGGAATTTTACCCTGAGTATTTTTTAATTAAAACAAGAATGTTTCGTTTAAAGTTTAATAATATACAGGTGTTTACCAATAAATAACGATATGTAAATGGGATAACCAATAAAATGTCAAGAGACCTTTCAAACTTTTTCAAACAAAACAGAAACATCATTATTTAAAACATGATTTAAACAACAAAGTTTGACTGTGACTATTTTTTATTAGCTATATATATAGATTGAAAATTATAAAACAGATAATTTATGCTATAAAAAAAAACTTTTTTCTTTGTATAAAATATATTGTTTTTGAATTTAATACATCATTAAGAACGATAACATAATAGGAATTAATTATGAGCCTACAATATATGTTGTGGGTAGTTTTAAGTTTTCAAACTTGATTCATTAATATAAGTTTCTAGAAAACTTTATCCTTTGTTAAAATTTTCAACTAAAAACTAACCCAAGATACACAGTTGATGTATCGTTAGTTTTAAAAACCGATAGGAACGACGTGACTTCATTACGGAGGGTCTTTTCAACATATCCGCACATTAAATGTCACATTGTTTTTCTGTCTGATGTCATAGCCTTGAAAACTGACCGTAAATAGCACGATTGCTATAAACTTATTTAAGACGTGTATTTGCGACAGAAGATATGTTTTACAACGGTATTTGTCATTGTAACTATATCATTTTTTAAACATAGCACTCGTATCATTTGGCTGAATGTACAAAATGATAAATATGTTCGTTAGAGAATTTAAAGGAAACTCTATTCTTCTTACACGAACATAGTAATATTTTGTTTACGAAATTCAAATAGAATGTTTTAGAATAAACTGATGAACCGAAAACAAACTTCGATCAAGTTAAGGTAAATTAGAATATAACTTTATGTCAATAGAAGTCTTCTGTCAGTTCCAAAATGTTCGCCACACTTTTGTTTACACATGAACTTTAGAAAGGTTATTGAGTAACTTAGATTGTAACATAAACATTTCACTATTTAAGTAGTAAGTTTCTATGAATTACTTTGCACGGGTAATAAATAAGTGTGTTGGAATAGAGACGTTGTCTGAATGTTTTTGTCAAAGTAATTTTTAAAATTTCATAAAAAAATATGATCGAAATTTTGCAGTATAAGAGCAAACTGATTAAATATATATATATATATATATATGTATATAAACATTAGTAATGGGCATTTTCGAATAGACTATTCAATAGTTCTAAAAAATATTCGAATATATTGGGTAACTATCGAATATTTTTACTATCGAACAGTTCGAATAGTGGACAATTATTGAATAGTTGGATAGAATGGTATCATTCGATATTTTCCATCACTTATAAATATATGAATAGACCGTTGTACATGTTTTAAAAATTTGGAGCACTGAAAATCAATTGTTATCCCTTAGTTGAATTTTTTAATAATCTTTGATCAAAGTTCAAATTTTAAATGACATATCGTTAGAGGCATTGAATGAATTAGATTAATAATATGAGTAAGCTTGATTCTACTTAACGAATGGGTATTAATTGATTAAATAGCATGTTGATTATCAGATGTTTCATTGATGAAAACCGTAATAATCATTTCGCATTACAAGTAGCATACGTAATTTATATATTTTTATTAACAACAAAATAATTTTGTTATTTTTAGAACTGATTGATACAAATACTGTGATTCTTTTAATTATCTTCTCAGTATCTCTCTAATTGCGCACAGCAAGTAGAAAACGCCCTAGCACACACTGTCACTGACGTACATTCGACTTCCATACATGTATTGACGTATACAATAATATAAATTGTTATTTCTTCCATTACAGTCCGGATTATCTATTACTTTCCCACCCACCCAGTTTTTCAAAATAGGCTTTAGTAATTAGCTAATATGTAGCCTACTAAAAAATTGAGCTGTAATCAGCTGAATTTTGTCATCAATGAAACTTAAACTCGAGCTGTGTTTACACAATTCACAATAGATGATTATTTTGAATGAATCAAACATGAATTTTAATATGATCTATTAAATTATATAATTTATAATTTAATATATTTGGATAATTATCAAAACACACTTCTATAATGAATAATAAACATGATTGGATTTACATTTTCTTAAAATGATTATCTTCAAGAAATCTTCTACTAAAGTATTGTAAAAATGCATTTTTTATCAGTAACGGTAAAAAAAAGTAATATTGGAGTTTGACTCTTTTAAATTTAACAATATATCACCGATGGCTGGTATTTTAATCAGTTAACGTTTAATTCGAGAAAAGTGGGTTAATTTTTTTTTTTTTATAAATGTTCAACAATATTTGAGAATTGTGACTAACGAGCGTTAGTAATCATGTCATGTGATTGATCGTAAGCCCTGTTAGCTCCATTCCTTTAGACACACGATGTACGAAATTAACGACAACGGTCTACCAAGTTCCTGCCGCACATTATTTTTATCGCCTACCCACTTTAATAGGGATCAAGACTTGATGCGGGCATGCACTCGAGTGGATTAAGCAAAGGAAGAGGAAGATTGCGTAGATGCCAGGACGAACCAAAAAAAACGCCTCTGATAAAACCCGAGTGTTAATAAATTTTTAATTTTTTATCTTTTATACGTCCTACGCGGCAAAGCATTGGCGATATGTCCTATTTTTTGTCGTTATAATCGAATTGCATGTAGGAAGTTACGCAGAACTTATTATTATTGTTGTTGAACTGGACTTGTTTTGTTTCAAACGGAGCCTGGTACTATGGTAAAAGAAAAAAAAAATACATCACCATGCAACGCTCGCCGACATACGGAAACCAATTTATTATTTGCAATTTAAAATACGTCCCTTATGTTAGAATAAAACAAATAAAATATTTATTTTTGTGCAACTGAAAATCGTGTTGTTGTATAAACATGTAGGTGCATAAAGACTGTTTACACAGCAATAGATTTTCATTGATTTTTTGGCTTGAAAACCATTGCAGAAATCTTATCGTGAGAATCGTCATGATTTTATCGCAACAGTAAATAATATTTTATTGTTAAAAACTTAAATTGTTTCTTTTCATAAAGAGTCTACAACACTGCTGGGTCGTCACCCTCATATGTCAATTGACAGTCAAAGAAGTAAACGATTAGATGTGATGTGAAATTTTTTTTTTATTAAAAATCATCGACCAGCCCGCATAAATGGTGTGTGTTGGTAACCACAGGCGGTACGTTTTTATCGACTATGATAATCTCTCGTGTTGATGAGTTTCAACGTTTTCATAAGAAAAAACTTCTGTGAACAATAATTGCTGTGNAAAAAACTCCTGTGAACAATAATTGCTATAAATGCGGAAATCGTGACGTTGTATAATATTATATTCCATGTCTGATGTACAGACTGGTGGTGACTAACCGCTCTTCGTTATTTTTTTCCAAAACTGGGCTTGCCCTCGTTATTCGTTTCTGTAGAGGTGCATCACCCTGTACCGTAGTATAACAACAACAATGATACGTTTCGTGAGGCGATCCTCCAATTGGAAACTATCACCAGCACGTTGGATTTGTTAAATCTGAGGTACGAAATTGAATGTCAGGGCCGTGTATGATAACGTGATTCATGAGTTGTATAGTTTTTGCAACTGAAATCTCCCCAACAAACAATGTCTACATCCCCTTGCCCAACTGCGATGGTCCTTTGATCCCTATCGGCATACCGGATTCACCAACGTCGACGCCGTGTCCCTGAGTAAACCATATTGAATAGTAATATTAATATGCAAAATCCATTTGTCCCTGTGCACGTGTAATAATTTATGACCGCCGCAGGTTTTCTATTGAAAACGTAATGCATTTTCCATACAAACACAATCTAATGAGAAATTAAGCAGCTCTGCAGCCTATTTTATGCTTTATTGTGGCAACCCACAATAGATATCCGAGTAGACATCTAGAATTCATTACTATGAGTTTATAATTTTTTATTGTATTATAAGACACGATATACAAGAAATTCCTCGCGTTTCTGTTTATAATGAGTAGTTATTATAATAATCATCAGATCATACGCGAATGGTCGTGAAAAACAATGAATAATTGTGTACCAGATCAAGAGGCGATATTCGCGTTGGACACAGCCATTGAATCTATTCATACGGCCCGAGGTGCATGTAATATACAGAGTGATTGAAGTGATGACTGACTTTCGATGGTCAGTTATTTATAGTTTGAGATTCGTTGGTCGCCAACGATAGATTTCAATTATATATTTAAGTTTCCTGTGAGCTTCGGAGTGATATACATGTTTAAATGTACCTGTGTTGTTTTTTTTTTGTCAATTGTTTGTTTGGACACGTTAAGGAATAAAAGATGGATTCATGATTTGTGTAAGTGTACACAATAATACATACTATGTATACACACATGAACACGCGAGGGACATCAATGCATTTGTGTATTTGCTCTATGCGTGTGTTGTGTGTAATTGACACACGAAAATGACGTTTGCTAAACGGCGAAATCATCCGACCTCGACTTTCAAAGGTTTGGCGTAAATAGTTATTAGCATTCTACCAATAAATTAAATAAAATGACAAACGGGACACTGCTAGTGCTATAAATGATCTGCTACTACCCATAACTTTTCCATCCTT